GGCCTGCCGTAAAGACCGAGGCGGGCCGTTCTGGAGCTAAGATTGCCCCCTGCTTTACGGCACAGCCGTGAAAGCCCCGAGGGGGTGGGGCTCTGGAGGTGAACCCCGGAAGATGCGGTTGGGTGACAGCCTCAGCTCCTCCCACCCCCTGGCCCTGGCCCTGGCCCGCGGAGGTCGAGGGTTGTGGGAACGTCGGGGTGGATTCCTGGTGTCGCTGCAGCGCCTGGAGCCCAAACCGAGTGTCATTCATCGGAGCATTCCCGGCGCCCAGCACAGAGTGGGCACACGTAAAACTTTGCGTGACTGAACGAGGGTGTTTTTTTGCAGCGCCCACCCCGCCGCGAGAGAAGGGCGTCGGCCGCCCGCCCTGGAAAGCCCCTCGGAGCTATCGGTCACCAGCCCCTGGCAGTGGCCTTGGGCCGGCGTGATGGCGGCCCCCGGGGCTGCGGGCCTTCAGGAGCTGTGGCTCGTCGGTGGTGGGGATGCAAAGTTCATGCGTGGGTCTGAGCTCTCGGGCCCTCAGCTCCAACCAGACAGAAGGAAGGTGGCGTGGCCCGGCCGAAAGGGTTCCTTTTCCTAAGGAATGTCCTCTGTCCTTGTCCGCTTCACTGGCCGCCTCGCTGAGGCTCCTTTAACCCCTTTGTACAGCTCAGCAGAAGCAGCCATACCTCCCGTAAGGATGCGGAGAGGCGCCTCTTTAGAAGAGCTCACCATCCAGGATTCAAAACTATCACTGACCCCAGTACTGTATTATAGCTCATGTATTCGTCCGCATAACCCTCAAAACAGCCCCATTAGGTAGGTAATATCAGTGTTCTCCGTGTTTTATATGAGGAAACTGAGGCACAGCCGAGTCCTGTAAGTTGCCTAAGGCCACACTAGGCAGGGATGTGACCCCAGACAGTCTGGTTTCTAAATCCAAGCTCATAGCTATATTACAGCCTCTCAAAAGAACAGGTTACCAAACCATTTTCCCTTATTGCTGTCAGTGTGGTTATCATTTCTGTAATGCTGCCTGTTGTTTTTTCAAGTATGCCTAGCATTCTTCCTTATTATCCCAAACAAGTGTTAAAACCCTTGTTAATAATAAAGGATGTATTATGCAGTTTTACACTCTTAAAAATAGCTTGCAAAACTCTCTTCAACTTTCATAATCCTTTCAAATTCATGACTGATATATTTTAAATTAGCACCGTGAATAATACTGGACTAGACTTAGGCTCCATTAAAAAATCGGACTTAAAAAAGGGGCAAAATAAAGAATAATTATTCACTTTGCAAAAAAGATGCTTTTCTCTATAAAAGGTTTAGCCTCAGACTCCCTTTGAATGACAAATTTCCCTTGTGATTTAAAAATCCTATTTTATTGCCAAACATTCAGTTTAGACATAACTCTTCAGGATACATTTTAGATAAAGTGAGTTATGCTCATAAGTATTAAACACAGTCTGTGCCCACAAAATAAGTAAGGGAAACTAAAGTTCAAAAATAATTCCTTTGAAAGAGATAAACTCCTGGCAATAAAATTCAGGTCTGTTCTAGATGAAAATAAACGTGGAGAGTGAGATACCTTACCATTCCAAAATGTTCCAAGGCCTGAGCTGGGTTATCCAAGGTGAAAGAAGTCATGAAAAAACCAGGAGAGATAAAGCCTGAATGTGATATATCGTGCACCTGAGGCTGTTTCTTTGGAATCACGGTACCTCAAGACTAACTTTTCATGCAATTTCCTTAATACCAATTCACAGCATGTACTTTCATTTCTCCACAGAAGCCAAGCGCATTATTCTCTGGTCATACTCTATTAACCAAGTTTTTTTTTTTTTTAATTCATGGCACTCTTGGTCCCATTTATTTTAAATAATCAGCACTTTCCTTTATACTTACAGTTAAAAGGTTGCATTATACCTAATGATAATCAGTTTTTAGAAGGTTAAAATGGTATTTGTTCTTTAATCTTGCAGATAAATATATAACTCCTTAGAGTCTCTTTGACTAAAGAGATTTCTGAATTGCTGGTGACTTTCGGAGGAGCAGGGAGAGGGCATATCTGTGGTTCTGCCCTTCCTCTCCCACTGACTACAGTCATTTTGAGGATATGTGTGAATGTGTACATAAAGAATACAGCAGGGTTTCTCAACCTTGGCTTTACTGACATTTTGGACCAGATAATTCATTGTTGTGTGTGTGGTAGGGAGAGCTTTTTTGTGCCTGGTAGGATGTTTAGCAACATCCCTGGCCTCTTCTCACTAGATTCCAGCAGTGCCCCTCCAAGTTGTGACAACCAGATTTGTTTCAGGACATTGCCAAAATGTCCCCTGGGGGGCAGAATCGCCCATGAGGATACAGGGAAATGGGAGAAGCTAAAGAAAAAAATAATTTCCATCTATGACATTTATTTTACAAAGCAGCAAAAGAAAAGGTCCTGGATGTGGGCAGCCCTGCAGATTAAAGAGTGGTCATTCCACCATCTGGAAACCTTCAGCCATACACAGGGACATTTCTGCTTGGCATTAGGGTTGTTCTGGAGACAGCAAGCTGACAAAAGATGTTCCTCCTCCATCTTTCTCAGTATCCTGAAGCTGGTAAAGTAGCAATAGACTTCATTTACTGTTCTCTCTACATTCTGCTCACCTTAGAAAGAAATGAGGTCATACTTGGTGTCTCTCTCTTTTTTTAATTTTTTTATTGGCTGGAAACCTGAACCAGCCTTTGGAAACACAATGTCTTAACAAGGATGGTGTATGCTTGGACTTTGGCCTTTTCATGATTAGGTGAGTGGAAATAGATAGGGACACTGCAGCCACCCTCCTATCACCCTCAACACAATCACCTATTGTTCATGCTAAGAGAGTTATTCCAAAAGCAGATGAAAGTGTCAGGTATATCTTGGGGCAGAATGATAAAAGGAGGCAAGTAATCAGATTAGCAAAAATCCAAAAGTCTGACCACCTACTGGGTTGGCAGACTGCGGAGAACAGGAAGAACACATATTGCCAATGAGAACGTAAAATGTTGCATAGCATCTATGGAAGGGAATTTGATAACCCCTAGAAAAATTACATATATATTTACCTTTTGACCTAGAAATCCCAAAATACAAAATGACTTATGCACAAGGTTATTCACTGCAGTGTTATTTGTAATAGCAAAGGATTGAAAACAAACCAAATAACCACAAATAGGTGTCTGGTTGAATAAATTGGGGTAAAGCCCTACAATGAAACACACTGTGCAACTCTGAAAAAGAATGAGGGCCATCTCTTTAAAATGATGTGGAATGATCTCCAGAATATGTGTTGAAAAACAAAACGAAGGTGCAGAACAGTATAGTATGCATTTTTTGTAAGATAGGTGAACTATGAATATACATTTGCATATCTTTGGGATGGGAGGACATGGGTAGAAGGGACAGGCATGGAAACAGACTATTCTAAATATACCTTGACTATATAGTTTTGACTTTAGAATCATGTATATATTTTACATAAGCAATTTTAAATTCAAAAGAAAAATTTAATTCCTGAAATTTGAAAACAACTGAAGCAAATGAGCTAACTCTATATTAAGTTGGTGGCATAGACACACCAAGTAAACAATGCACTGACTTTAGAAAATACTGTTTTCCCTGTACATAGTGAATATACATAGTGGGATGTGTTCTCAGGATAAATAGACCTACAAAGAAATCTTAAACTTCATTCAGTAGTTTTATTGCTAGTAGAAATTTGATTTTTTCTTTTAAAAAATATGTTTCTAATATTCCAATAAGAAAATTACACATTTATTAAAAAAAAGAAACACACTTGCTTTGTCCCATGAAAATACCTAGAAGTAATAGTAATTTTGTTGCAATCTTTAGCATTCATATTGTACTTTCAGTACATCATTCCTTATTAAAAGGAATGAGACTCTTTGGAAGAATGGCAGCTATCAGGTCCTGGGCAAAAAAATGTTCACGATGAGCCTGAAACACCCTGTTTTGCCAGAAATCAAGGAACTTACTAAAGTCTAATGAGACAGGCCAAAAGGGCAAAGGGATCAGCATAAAAAAGCTCCCACTGCCTGAAAAGGGGACGATCTGAACATGAAAAAAGGGTAAGAACTTCAACTGATTGAAATTCATTGGTGACATATAAATCCTTGAGTTCATTATTGGGCATACCTAGGGCAATACTGTGAATATTTGCAATATAATGAAAGAATTGAGCATTTATCCTGCCTTTCCTGTATGAATTATATTTAGTGGTGTTTTAGCTTGGCTTACACTCTTGAAAGCTGAACCTGAGACAAGGGCTTACTTTTAGGTAGTTTATTTTGGACAGCCATCTCAGGAAACGGCAGTGAATGACGAGAGCGAAACGGGGAAAGTCAATACAAGAGTGTTCTCAAGTTAGTCATCACTGTGGGCAATAAGGCTTTGAGTCTTCTGGGACTCTTTGACTTCCCATGTAGAATATATCCCTCATAATTGTCAGCTTGATGCAAGAGAGGAACAGTTATTTACCAGTTCCCAGCTCCCAGCTCCCACTGGTCCAAATTTCCCACTTGGGGCCTTAGCCCCCTGACACTTCTAAGCTGTCATTTAAGTGCTAGGCAGATATCCCATCCTTGTGGAGTTAGGGGAACTCAGGGGCAAAACATGAGGTGTGCACAGCACATATGAGAAGAGGCGCTTTAGGTTACAACTGCAGAAAGCAGGCTGCTTCAGCAATGGCTATGGTAAGAGGCAGCTGAGAGGACGTGAGGCAGGGGACAAG